AGTTTATAGTGGAGTAACTATTGGAATTAATAGAATTAATTAATTAATTAAAGTGTTTAATTAATTATTAATTTTATTGGAGCTCGGGATTATAGGTCCATTAGTCCTCGCGTCGTCCTAGTAATTCTACCAGACACAGAGGGTAAAATGGGAAATTTTAGAATTAAGGAATTCTATAAATTAAATACTCGAAAATAATTAATTGAGAATTAATTATTATTTAAATAATGTGATTTTTTAAATTTGAATTTGAACACATCTAGATTTATCCATTTAAACTTATTTGATAAGTTGTTCAATTTAGAATTCAAATTAATTTAAGTTTGACTTAAATTTGAATTTGAATTTGAGTCAAAATTCGACCATAGGATAAAGGATGATTTTTTCTCTTCCTTCCCTATCTGACTTGGTGCCACACACAGGGTTAGAAAACCCTAGGGTGGCCAGCCACATTGGAGATAAGGGGAAGGGATTTTTTGTTCAAAATTCAAAATTAGAGATAAGGATTTGATTCTGTTTTGAAGTTTGACTTCTACTCTTTAAATATGAGAATGATAAAAAATTATGAACACAATTTTTTGAAAACAATTTTCAGCCCTAAGAGTTAGTGGTGGCCGAATTTCTCAATAGCAAAAGAGAGAGAAAATATTTTTTTCCAAAAATTCTACATCGTGCATGCGTTGGTGTTTGTGGAAATTCGAGTGTTTAAGAAACCTGTTTTGTCTCACGTGTGCCCACACACACGTCTACGTGGAATCAAGGAATTGACGTGGAAGACTTTGGTATTCTAAACACAAAGTTTGGAGCAAGGACTGTTTGTGGTCAAAGAACTCAAGTTATCATCCGAGTCGGCTTCCAGGTATTTTTCTGGATTGAGGTCTTGATGTAAATTAATGCAATTAATTTATTCGTGCATAAATTAATAAAATCTATAGAGTATCTCAAAAGTTTTTCTGAAATTTTTGTTATACACGATCCGCCTCCCCGCCACGCTTCCGCACCCGAATTCGATTCGGGAACCAACACAGTTTTCGGTCCCTTTCCTTATATTCCACATCCAACACGTCCCAAAGAAGCCCATTCTGACTTTTCATAAAAATCGGCGCACCAGACTGGGCCAAAACGCGTAACTCAGGCGACATATTGCCTAAAAATAAGCGACATATCGCCTGGCAGCTGTGACATATCGCCTGGCAGCTGCGACATATCACCTGGTAGCAGTGACATGTCACCACAAAGGAAGCGACATATCGCACCTCTCGCTGTTCCTTCGTATAGGTTTCCTCAATTTTACTCCTTTTCGCGCCGCGTTGCCATCTATAGATGCCGTATTGCCTCATTATCTATCTTCTTGATCCAAAATGCCTTAAAACTCAGCGATTTTACCCATTCCCGCACACTCAAGGGAAAATCATCAAATCCACATAAAAACTTGAGGAAAAACACAGTGAAACTAGCTAAAAGAGTAATGAATGAGTGCATAAATTACGCACTCATCAGAGATATTGAATGAGTGTATTACGCATAAGAAGATTATGTGGAATAAGGACACAAACACAATATGAATTTCTGATAATTTTCGTTAAGTATAGATATTCTAATTGAGTCTACCGATGGTCATGTATAGAATGATCTTAATCCTGAGTTCTTAACATACTCCTATTTATGGATTTGTGTCTTTTGATTTACTCGGTACGGATTCTGAGATCATGAATCCTATTCCTTATATTTTGGAGGCATGATGAAGTAGGTAGCCGGAAATGTTATTATACGAGATGGAATCCATTCCTTCTTGAGAAAGAAGTAGATAAATAATTCTCTTGAGGGTTGATTCGGTACTTAGGAGCTCCGATTCGTGAATGTATTTTATGAATCACTGTCCATTAGAGAATCAATGGTACTCAAGGATAAAAATGTAATTAGAGAGGTTAACGGATTTCACCTAGCTCTAATTATGAATTATTTATAGAGGATTGATCTATATGCAGTGACTACATCACATGGACACTTCACTACTTTGAAGTAATTTATATCTATAATTATGAGAGTGCAATTCCAAGTTTATGGTGGAGTAACTATTAGAATTAATAAGATTAATTAATTAATTAATTAAAGTGTTTAATTAATTATTAATTTTATTAGAGCTTAAAATTATAGCACCATGAGTCCCCGCGGCGTCCTTGTAATTCTACAAGACACTAAAGGAAAAAAATGGGAATTTTAGAATTACGAAATTCTAAAAATAAACACTCAAGGATAATTAATTAAAGATTAATTATTACTTAAATAATATGATTATTTAAATTTAAATTTGAATTTTAGATCACTTATGTGGAGGTGTTCACATAGTATGAATGCAAGGCACAGTGTGAACACACAATGTGAACACTTAGTGTGAATACACAGTGTGAACACATTTAGATTTATCCATTTAACTTATTCGATAAGTTGTTCAATTTAGAATTCAAATTAATTTGAGTTTGACTTAAATTGGAATTTGAATTTGAGTCAAAATTGGATTGTAGGATAAAGGATGATTTTCTCTTCCTTGCCTATCTGATATTGGCGCCTACACAGGGATAAGATCCCCTGTGAATGGCCGGCCATAATGTATA